CAAGTGCAACAAGGAAAAGTTACATCTTGCAACCACACGCTGTGTACTTAATAAAATTGTTAACTTTTATTTAAAGATTGCCTCAGCTCCGTCTATTCTGAGTCCAAAGTGCAATTTCTCACAATATTACAACTTACCTCACGTGGTGGCAGAAACGTAGGGAAAAGTAACCAAATAAATCTACATTCTTCTCTCCAGTCACGCTACAGTATATACAGTGTAATTATTACTAAGTTATTACTTTCTTAATAAAGGAGGAGGTGCAATTGAACAGCCTCCCTTCTAACTTGATGGTAAATTTGGTTCCTAATCGGCAACCTCCATTGCAAGTCGGCTAAGTCTTTTTAAAATTGGGAACTGGGGAAAAATCTCCTGAATACTGGTTCCTTTCAAATTGGTGGCAACAATAAATCATCCCCCAGCTCCCCTGCTTCTTTTCAAATTGGTGGCAGACGACGGGATACGATTAACAACTGATTGAGTGCCTTAAGACTACTTTGAGAATAATTTGTGAGGTAAAAGTTATTGAAATATGGCTACCAGATGACAGAAAAAACTTGTTGAGGAAACAATGGGAGACCAAGAAGGAAGTTTGGGCTCTGAAGCAGAAACAGAGCCAGTGTCTGTGTCAGAAATGGCACAGACTAGAGATGAAACGATTGGAAATAGAGGCAAAACAAAGGGAAAGAGAGTTTGAGGAAAGACAAAAAGAGAGAGAACAGGAGATAGAATTGAGGAGAATGGAAATTGAACTGCAAAAGCAAAAAATTAGCCCACCACCCCCCCTCACTTCCTCTGAGGATGCTTGCCATAGATGCAGGCGAAACGTCAGGAGAAATGCCTCTAGAACATGGCCCTATAGCTCGAAAAAACCTACAAGAACCTAGTATTTCCTAAATTTACTAAGGATGACGATATAGAGAAGTTTCTAACCTTGTTTGAGCGATGTTGTAAAGATTTTGGAGTTGCTGAGGAAAAATGGATGACGTACTTAAGGCCTCAAATAAGTGGAAAGCTCTTAGAAATATATGGAGAAATGCCTGAGGAGTCCTATGGGGATTATGATTTATTTAAGAGACAGGTTCAACAGAAATTTCAATTAACACCTGAATTTTACAGATTCAAGTTCAGGACTCTGAAAAGAGATAAGAACCAAAGTTTCGCTCAGGTGGCCTCTAGATTGTCTCAACTGTTCGATAGTTGGCTAAGGACGTCTGAGGTGGAAAATTACCAACAACTGAGAGAACTTTTAAAATTGGAACAATTTTTCCAATTGATACCTTCCGATTTTCGGTGGCTGGTACAGGATCGAAAGCCATCCACTGTAGTAGAGGCAGCGGTTATGGTAGATCAATTAATTACCCTAAAAGAAGGATTCAAAAGGGAAGATCTGCCAAATGATAAAAGGACAAACAGGCAGCCATTTTACCAACATCAAACGCGCCCACAACAAGGAAAAGGTCCTGCAATAGAAAACCCCTCCTGGAGGAGGCAGAGTGTAACAAGTCAAACTGCTCCTGAGGGAAAAATTAGGTGTTTTCAGTGTGGAAAGTGGGATCATATAAGGTATCAATGTCCCCTTTTAAGAAAAGAAAAGACAACCCTCTTCGTTAATAAAGTAAAAGAAACAAAGAAAACAGAACCAAATACTGTGTCAAAGGAGAGTTCGGAAACGGTGCCTCAAGAGAAACAATGTTTGTTCATTTTGTCAAACACCGCAACTGAGGATTACTTAGAATCCATTTCCATTGACAACAAAGACATGAGAGGGTGGCGGGACACAGGATCTGATGTGTGTATTATACATCCAGATATAATACCTCAGAAATTTCAGCATCCTACCTCTGAAATAAGATTAAAAGGCTTGGGACCTGCAATACCAACAGCAGTAGTGTCTTTGCCAATAGAATATGGAGGTTGGAAGGGTATGTGGGATTTTGCAGTCAGTCCAGACATACCATACAGGTGTTTAATTGGAAATGATCTGGCTAAAAAGATTGGAAAGTGGAGAATGATGTGTGAGGAGGAAGAATATAACAGCAAAAGCCCTGATCAAAAAGCCATGTGTTTCGCCATACAACAGGAGGGGGATGAGAATCCAGAATCCAGCACTATGGTTGCTGAGCTTATTAAGAAGACAGGAGGAGTCAGAGAAATTCAACAGGAACAAAGAGCAGATGAATTTCTAAAACCTTTGTTCGCTTTGGCTCAAAACCTCACAGTATCAGCAAAAGGGCAGCCCTCCAAGTTTGTGTTAAAGAATGGTGTCTTGTATAGAGAAACCAGAAACATGAAGTCAACAGAAGGATCAATGACATGTAATCAGATTGTAGTGCCTCAAAGTTTTAGAGAACAGCTGATGAGGGCGACACACGAGAACCCTCACGGTGGTCATCTGGGCGTGAGGAAAACCACAAAGAGGATCACTAAAAACTTTTATTGGCCTGGCATGTTCCAGAAGATCAAAGAGTTTTGCCAGTCTTGTGATATCTGCCAAAGATTGAGTACTGGAAGGGATAAAATTAAAGCTCCTATGATCCCTATGCCGGTAATTGCAGAACCATTTTACAGAGTGGGCATTGACATAGTTGGTCCTCTTTGTAAGCCAAGCAGACGTGGTTACAGATACATTCTAACCATGATTGACTACGCCACAAGATATCCAGAGGCTGTAGCTCTAACTAACATTGAGACAACAACGATTGCAAATGCACTGTTATCCATTTGGGGAAGAACTGGTTATCCTAGAGAATTGGTTTCTGATTTGGGAACTCAATTTACTTCCAGACTTATGTCAAAATTGCTTGAGTTATGTGGAATCAGACACCTGACTTCAACAGCTTATCACCCACAGACAAATGGACTAG